ACATTGATTAGCATGCTCAGGTGTGTTTGATTAGGGTTAGAGCTAAACTCTGCAGGAAAGTGGATCTTGTGGGCCAGATTTGAGGATCCCTGGTGTAATCTGTATCGTGAATTTTATCGCATCGTAAGTTTAGTGAATCGTTACATCCCTATATGCTACTAGTTTTTGCTGATCATGCTGATTTGTCCACAGTAAAGTTCAGCGGATGTCTTTTTTTATTCGGCTAGTTAAATTCATTTTGGGCTACCAAAACCTGAAGAATGCCTGCCCGAAAAGGGCTACCAGGGATTTCGAAATTTTGCGAGCCCTGCAGTTTCGATTCCAATGTGATTAAATAATGATATCAAACATTTATCTAGACAACTAAACAAAATCACATGTAATTTATGAATGAATGATTAAATGACTCACTCAAGATTTCATTACTGGATGAATCGGCGTTCTTGAATGAATCTCTTGTGATTCAAAGACAAATACATTTTAACAGCCCCTTTTCGCCACCTACTGGTGTAACAATGTAATCGATAAATCTTCATTTGAAGTGTCAAAATACTTTCAAAAGGTGATTTACTCTATTTTAATCGCTAGCATACACATCATACACAGTTTATATCTGAACTATAAACTTTTATCCCAGTACTTCTGTGATTTGAATGTTTGTAACACAGAAATAATGATACTGTGTGGCTGAAAAGACTGTGAAGCTGTTTCATTCATGACAGACAGCTGCTCTCTTTAGGTCAATGGCAGCGCAAACGCAGATTTAAATGTTCAAATCACACTGGTGTGATCGTACGCTGCATGGACGAACCACGTGATCACAACATTGATTGCTTGCGTCAAAGGTTGAGGAATGAAACAGACGAATCATTGTAATTTAGGAACAGAATCACGTTGGTGTTTGAATCGCGTTCGCAAACTTTAACAATCTATTAAATTAAAGTGCTTTGTCATGTTGGTGGTGACACCTCTCTTGCAACATGTTTAGCAATCACAGATATTATACTTAGCTTTTCTGGCTTCTGATCGCAAATGTAGCAAAACTTTGGAGCGCTTAGATTAGCGACCAAGGTCCTGGCAGATCGCTAGGTCCGGTCCTCACAGATGAAGAAAAAAAAAGCGCACAGGAATTGATAGGCGGAATCGAAAATTTTATTTGACAACAAGTATCTGATTCTGGAATCGGAATCGATTTTCGATTCCCAACCCTACCCAGGAGGATCTACAGTGTGTGTAGTAAAACAGAGATGTTCTGTGCATTCAGTTCAAGTGTATATAAACCTCTATAGTATCAGTAACTCACTCTCTGTATCTTGCCCAGGTAGTAAAGGCCGTCAGACCAGCGGCACAGCACGTACTGGCCCACGGTCAAGTTGGTCTCCTGGTCGCTGTAGGTTTTCTCTCTCTTGGGAAGCAAGTGCTTGGCTTCTAGAGGTTCCGACCCAACTGTCAGATATCCGTCCCGACAGGCCGATTCCAACATGCTGACAATAGACACAACTACACTTCCTGAAAGCAAAGTAGGAACAAACAAATCATACATAATATGCAGATTACACCAAATTTAAGTATGTGAAATTTCCCAGTGGAATTAATTGCATTATTTCATACAAAAACACTCTTTTGGAATTTGTAGGTGTTTTTCTATGTAAAAATTGATTAAATATGAAAACCTTAGAGACCACATATGTCTATATAAAAACTCCCATAGAAACCAAGTAAAGATTGACATAATAAAGGGTTTGCCCACTGGTCAGTACAGTTGCATATATAAATAAGCACTCAGGCAAAAAAAAAGTCTTCCAGTTGTTTTAAAATCTAAATTAACCCAAAACATATTTACAGATCGAAAAAGATTTTAAGGATTTATATGTGCAATTAATCAATACGCATAAATGCAGAGCACCATCAATCTAAAGGCATGGCTCATTTAGCATAATTAGGGCTTTAAAGATATGACAGTCTTCAAGTTCTTAGGGAAAATCATTGGAATCAACACAGGGGATATTTGCAGTTTTGTCCACTTATTAATTGGTGTTTCCCAAGCCTTTTTGTCTTACACAGCCTCTTCAATAATGCTCAAGTACCCACCAGTAATCTGTCCTTTTAACTCTCATTATAATTACACCATTTAGCAAAATAATTAATGTTGTAACTGTATATTATTACTTATAATAAGGTTTTTTATTAATTTTTCTTATTTACTTAAGTCTTGCGACGTTCAAGGACTGACTACAGCCAAAGACTATAGAAATACACAGACGGTTCACTCCTATACTTATGAATGGGAGAAACTGCAACACGCAATATGGCGGAATAGTCCCACCTTCTAAATGAAAGAGCCAATCACTGATTGGTAAAGTCAATGCGTCACTGCAGCGGCCGTTAGAAGCTCGGGTTCCCATAGAAACCTGAGGCTAGACCAGCCATTGCGCATGTGCAGGCCCTGTCCCAAATGGAACACTTCATGTGCACTTGCGGTCTTACGGACTTACAATGGCCGCCGTGTCCACGAGACCGTAGGGTGTCCCATTTGTCATTTTAGCATTCAGAAGGGTACTCGCAAGTGGCCCCTTTGCGCCCGTTATGCGCCCTCGATCCACACTTCTGCCGAGCCCGCACCGGGGCGAGCTCCGCAGAAGACTTCTACCCGACAGTCAAAGCGGCATTACGTCATGAAAGTGCGGACTCAGAGGAAGACCCCGAGCAGTGTTGCCATACGTACGATAATTATCGTATATGTACGATACATTTGACCTCTGTACGATGTACGATCAATAATGAAAAAAATCCCATAATGTACGATAATTTCATAATTTTATGACAATTCAAATGATGGTAGTTGTAGTTATAGGGCTTCTATAGTCATACACGAAACTGGCTCATTACAGACACTCTAAATGAGCTCATGCACACCTCAGAGTGTGTTAAGAATGCAGGAGGGTGCCCTGCTTTAAAGCCAATGAGCACTGTTGCGGTCCATGACGGCAAGAACCTCCTCAACATCTGGCAACACACAGGCTTCCGATGACAGCGGCTCAGATGTGGAGTTAACAGCTAAAGTCTGTCTACACTGGACGCGACAAAGCGAGTGTTAAAAATCATTTTAATACGTCATAAATAGAACGAGGCATCAGTTTACTGTTGGGGATGTGT